TCTCTCTCTCTCTCTCTCTCTCTCTCACACACACACACACACACACACAGAAAACACACTCTTACTCCCAATCTCCCTCTTGAATACCCACCCCTACGAATCCTTTTTCCTTTATTAAAATTAAATTAAAAAAAAAAAGATGCACTGGCTGTTGCCCCCCAGCCATCCTCTTCGTGTAACTGCCATTTTGTTGTTGTTGCTTTTAAGATTTTTTTTTCTTAATCATCATCCAAAATCGAGCGAGCCATTCTTTTTTTTTTTTTTTTTCCTTTTCCAATTCAGGTCTGCGTTTCCACAGTCCATCGGTGTACCGACTGAGCTAGCCAGTTGGTGCGCATGCCATTCTTTACTACTTGAAAGAGAGAGGATGTATTCCACCTCCGTTATAAAAAGAACCTGGCTGAAGGGTATTTAAAAATAATAAAAATAAAAAAAAACTGGCTGAAGGTAGAAAAAGAAAATAAGGAAGTTACCTTCGTATCTTCCTATCTTCTACCTTCCTATCTTCCACCTCGATCCCGACTCATCCACCCTCCCTTCTCCCTTCCCCCTTCCTTTCTTCTTCTCCGATCACAATACCCTAATCCCGATCGCGACTCCCTCTCCTCCATCCACGTATCCTCCTCCTCCTCCTCCTCCCACACCGCCTGGCTGCTGCTCCCATGCCCGATTTAGGATCATTTTACGCTTTTTTTTTTCTTTTTTTCTTTTTTTTTTTTGGGGGGGGGGGGGTTGGTCTTTACCATCATCACCTCTTCATCCCGACTGGGCCGCTCCCCCTCCCATATCCAGTTTTTACCATTTCTTTCATTTTTTTTTATTTTTTTTTTTGAAGCCCGATTTTTACCTTGTTCGGAGTTATTCCACACTCTGCGTATCGCCGCGCTGCTCCTTCACTTCATCGTGACCTCCCTGTCATCCTCTCCCCTCGTACCCTTTTTTTTTTTTTAACTTCGATATCCATTGTTTTTTTTTCCCCCCAACATTGCTCTCTCTCTCTCTCTCTCTCTCTCTCTCTCTCTCTCTCTCTCTCTCTTTTTTTTTTTTTTTTTTTTTTTTTTTTTTTATATTTGGGTTTTTTTTTTTTTTTTTTTTTTTTTTTTTTTTTGG